CCCCCCCCCTTTTTTTTATTTTAAAAAAAACCGTTTATTTTTTAAATTGGTAGACAGAAAGCACCCATGGATTTTTTTTTTTTTTGTTAGGTAGGATTGCATCATTGCCGCTCTTAAGCATGGGCAAACTAGGCGACATACGGCCCCAGTGCCGTTTTTTTTTTTTTAGCCTGCAATTTCGCCCTGTGCGAAGCAACCGTTCGGCGCCCCCTTCCCCGTCTCTGTAGGGCTCCGCTCTTTTTCCGATTACGACGTAGGCTACGGAGCACGTTTTGTGATGTACCCCATTGTTGAACCAGTAGTTTGACTTAGTTTTCTATTGGTTGTGTGTGTGCCTGTATAGCTTCAATAAAGGATTTTCATACGATCTTTAAGTGGAGTTTCTGCTGATTCAAGTACCTACGTTGGTTAGGCCAATATTTGGATGAAATCGATGAGTCACTCACAACAACTCATCAGGTGGCTTACTCTTAACCGTCGGTTTCAAGAAGTTTAACTGCTACCAGACGGAGTTGTGTTAAAGTTGACCTAGATTTTATTCAAAATCTTTTTCAAGAGCTTTATAAGAGTATTAAAACAAACAAAACTAAATCTCTCTCTCTCCCCCCCCCCACCCCCCTTCCCAATAAGGATGAAACTTACAATTTAGAGGGGGGGGGAAGGGGGCTACTCTACAACATTTTAATTGAATTATCTCTCTTTTTTAACTGGGCGAAGTTTGGCCAATAAAGGTCAAAGGACAGTGCATATATTAAATAGCACAACTATATCACATGCTACCCGCCCCCTACCACTTATCACGTTAAATAACATGTCCATTGAAAACGTCCCCTTTATATTATAAAACATTTCTAGCAGCTACCCTCCACCCCGATAAAAGTTTGGTACTACAAAAATGTTGTTGTTAGCATTCTTTTTAAGTGTCGGTCGTAACAGCCATGGCATGAACAAATCAATGCACCGGAGTCCTAGGAAGTGCCACGGTGTATCTCGTGGTCAGCACGGGGGCTCCTAAAATAATGCGTATCCGGAAATTTAATCGAAAGAAATTTCGTCGACGGAAAATTTGATCGAAGGAAACACATTATTTTGTTTTGCTATATAGTATCGTGCGCTCACGAAAGAAATTTGACGAAAATTTTAACGTGTGAACTTAAAAAAAGATTCGACCAAACTTCCATTCGATCAAATTTCCGTCGACGAAATTTATTTCGATCAAATTTCCGGTAACCAAAATACCGGGGTCGCTTGGGCTAATGTGCATGATATCTCTTTATGCTTGATAGAAATTAGAATGAATTGAGTTGTTTAAACATAGATAGCTTAAGACCGTTTCCTGGCCTGCAGTTGCAAGACTCAAATTGAGTCGCGCGCACCTAGGACTCCGAATCCTGCATGCACCGCCACGGTTGTATTGTTATCAACGTGGATTAAATAAATATGTTATAGCCACGTTTTGTTTTCATGATCTCCAATCAATTTTATCCATGATTCATGATTTGTT